AAATAGAGTGGACCACAAAAAAAATCCCCTCGCCACATAATAATCAAGACCCCAAACATACAGAATAAAGAAAGAATATTAAGAGCAGCTAAGGAAAAAGGTCAAGTAACATATAAAGGCAGACCTATCAGAATTACACCTGATTTCTCCATGGAAACTCTGAAAGCCAGAAGGTCCTGGATAGATATTGTACCTACACTAAGAGACCATGGATGCCAGCCCAGACTACTATACCAGGCAAAGCTCTCAATCACTATAGGCGGAGAAAACAAGATATTCCATGACAAAACTAGATTCAAGCAATATGTGTCCACTAACCCAGCCCTACAGAAAATTTTGGAAGGGAAACTCCAACCCAAGGAAGCTAACTACAACCAGAAAAACATAAGCATTAGAGAATCCCTCTCTACCAACAGCCAAAAGAACAAAGGGGTGAAATTCCACCCATAATTCCACCAACATCAACCATCGCAAATCGAAGAAGGATGAGCAATCAATGGTCATTAATATCCCTCAATATTAACGGCCTTAACTCACCCATAAAAAGACACAGACTAGCAGAATGGATTCGAAGATAGAACCCTTCCTTCTGCTGCATACAAGAAACACACCTCACCCTCAAAGACAGACATTACCTGAGAGTTAAAGGTTGGGAAAAAATTTTTCAATCAAATGGAACCAAGAAACAAGCAGGGGTAGCAATCCTAATATCTAACAAACTAGACTTTAAAGTAAAATCAATCAAAAGAGATGAAGGAGGTCATTACATACTCATCACAGGTGAAACCCACCAAGATGAAGTGTCTATCCTGAACATCTATGCCCCCAATACAAAGGCATCCACATTTGTTAAAGAAACATTATTAGAACTTAAATCTCATCTAAAGCCCCACACAGTTATAGTGGGAGATTTCAACACACCACTCTCACCACTAGACAAGAATACCAGACAGAAACTCAACAAAGAAGCAAAGGGTCTAATAGAAGTAATGACCCAACTGGGATTAACAGATATCTATAGAACATTTCATCCACATAAAAAAGAATATACCTTCTTCTCACCACCACATGGAACCTTCTCAAAAATCGACCATATACTTGGCAACATATCAAACCTCAGCAGCTACAAAAAAATTGGAATAACTCCATGCATCTTCTCAGACCACCATGCCTTAAAATTAGAATTTAACAACAACACAAACTGCAGAAAACCTACAAACTCATGGAAATTGAATAATGCTCAACTGCACCATCCCTGGGTCAAAGAGGAAATAAAAAAAGAAATTAAAGACTTCCTTGAATTCAATGAGAATGAAGACACAACATACCCAAACCTATGGGACACTTTGAAAGCAGTGCTACGGGGGAAGTTCATAGCACTAAGTGCTCACATGAAGAAACAGGAAAACAGTTATACCAGAGAATTAACATTACAGCTAAAAGCTCTAGAACACAAAGAAGCAAACTCCCCCAGGAGGAGTAGACGCCAGGAAATAATCAAATTGAGGGCTGAAATCAACAAAGTAGAAACCAGGAAAACAATACAAAGAATCAATGCAATGAAGAGTTGGTTCTTTGAGAAAATCAACAAGATAGACAAACCTTTGTCCAAACTTACCAAACAGCAGAGAGTGAACATGCAAATTAACAAAATCAGAAATGAAAAGGGGGACATAACAACAGACTCTGAGGAAATCCAGAGAATCATTAGGTCATACTTTGAAAACCTGTACTCCACAAAATTCGAAAATTTAAAGGAAATGGATGACTTCCTGGACAGCTATCATTTGCCAAAACTAAACCAAGAACAGATAAGCAATTTAAATAGACCTATATCCCCTATGGAAATAGAAGCTGTCATCAAAAGTCTCCCAACCAAAAAAAGTCCAGGTCCAGATGGCCTCAGTGCAGAATTCTACCACAAATTCAAAGAACAGCTTATACCAATTCTTTTCAAAGTGTTCCACACAATAGAAGCAGAAGGGTCTTTGCCAAACTCTTTCTATGAGGCTTCAATAACCTTGATCCCCAAGCCACACAAAGATACAACCAAGAAAGAGAACTTCAGACCAATATCCCTCATGAACATTGATGCAAAAATACTCAATAAAATACTGGCAAATCGAATCCAAGAACACATCAAAACAATCATTCACCACGATCAAGTAGGTTTCATCCCAGGGATGCAGGGATGGTTCAACATACGAAAATCCATCAACGTAATCCACCATATAAACAAGCTGAAAAACAAAAATCACATGATCATCTCACTAGATGCTGAAAAGGCCTTTGACAAAATCCAACACCCCTTCATGATAAAGGTCTTGGAGAGATCTGGGATAACAGGGACATACTTAAACATAATAAAAGCCATATACAGTAAACCAACAGCCAACATCAAACTAAATGGACAGAAACTCAACGCAATTCCTCTAAAATCAGGAACAAAGCAAGGCTGTCCACTCTCTCCATACCTTTACAACATGGTACTTGAAGTTCTAGCTATTGCCATATGACAACAAACGGGAATCAAGGGGATACAAATTGGGAAGGAAGAGGTCAAACTTTCACTGTTTGCAGACAATATGATAGTTTACATCAATGACCCAAAGAACTCTACCAGGGAACTCTTACACCTGATTAACACCTTCAGCAAAGTGGCAGGCTATAAGATCAACTCAAGAAAGTCAGTAGCCCTATTATATACAGATGATAAAAGGGCTGAAAGAGAAATCAGAGAAACATCACCCTTTACAATTGCCACAAACAACATAAAATACCTTGGGGTAACGCTAACCAAACAAGTGAAAGACCTGTATCATAAGAACTTTGAATCTCTAAAGAAAGAAATTAAAGAAGTCCTCAGAAAATGGAAAGATCTCCCATGCTCTTGGATAGGTAGGATCAATGTAGTAAAAATGGCAATCCTGCCAAAAGCAATCTACAGATTCAATGCTATCCCCATTAAAATCCCAGCACAACTCTTCACAGACCTTGAAAGAACAATAATCAATTTTGTATGGAAAAACAAAAGACCCAGGATAGCCAAAACAACCCTGTTCAACAAGGCAACGTCCGGAGGCATCACCATCCCTGACCTCAAGCTCTATTATAGAGCTATAGTCCTGAAAACAGCTTGGTATTGGCACAAAAATAGACAGGTAGACCAATGGAATCGAATTGAAAATCTGGGTATTAACCCACACACGTACGAATATCTGATCTTTGACAAAGAAGCTAAAAATATACAATGGAATAAAGAAAGCATCTTCAACAAATGGTGCTGGCATAACTGGAGACTGGCATGTAGAAGAATGCGGATCGATCCATGTTTATCGCCATGCACAAAACTTAAGTCCAAATGGATCAAAGACCTCAACATAAATCCAGCCACACTGAACCTCATAGAAGAGAAAGTGGGTGGTACCCTTGAACGAATTGGTACAGGAGACAGCTTCCTGAACATAACACCAGTAGCACAGACAGTGAGATCAACAATTAATAAATGGGACCTTCTGAAACTGAGAAGCTTCTGTAAGGCAAAGGACACAGTCAGCAAGACAAAAAGGCAGCCCACAGAATGGGAAAAATATTCACTAATCCCACATCTGACAGAGGGTTGATCTCCAAAATTTACAAAGAACTCAAGAAGCAAGTCTCCAAAACAGCAAAGGACCCAATTAAAAAGTGGGCTGCAGAACTAAATAGATAGTTTTCAATAGAGGAGTCTAAAATGGCTGAGAGGCACTTGAGAAAGTGCTCAACATCCTTAGCCATCTGGGAAATGCAAATCAAAACAACTCTGAGATACCATCTCACTCCTGTCAGAATGGCTAAAATCAAAAACACCAATGACAATTTATGCTGGAGAGGATGTGGTGAAAGGGGGACACTCCTCCATTGCTGGTGGGAGTGCCAACTGGTTCAGCCACTTTGGAAAGCAGTATGGAGATTCCTCAGAAAAATGGGAATAAACCTATCACAAGACCCAGCAACTCCACTCTTAGGCATATACCCAAAAGATGCCCATTCATACAACAAAGATGTCTGTTCCACTATGTTCATAGCAGCTTTATTTGTAATATCCAGAACTTGGAAGCAACCTAGATGTCCCTCACCCGAAGAGTGGATAGATAAAATGTGGTACATCTACACAATGGAGTACTATTCAGCAGAAAAAAAATAATGGAATCATGAGATTCGCAGGCAAATTGATGACACTAGAAGAAACCATCCTGAGTGAGGTAACCCAGTCACAAAAAGAGAAACATGCCATGTACTCTCTCATATAGGGATTTTAGACATAGATCTGGGGAGTGCCAGCCTACAATCCTATTGCCAGACAGTCTGGGAAACAGAAACTACATTTAGTGGCTGGTTAAGTACTGAGCTGAACTCAAGAAAGCCAGTATCAGAGAGGGAGGACTGATGATCAAAGGGATTAAGACTGGGCTGGTTTAACCCCCAGAAACAGCTGACCAGACAAAGGTTAACTCTTGAATCCCAGGCATCAGCCTGGGAATCCAGCATGGGACTGATCAAGACCCCCTGAATCTGGGTGTCAGTGAGGAGGCCTAGGTAATCTATTGAGCCTTGGGCAGCAGATCAGTACCCATCCCAAGTATTCACACAGACTTTGGACTCCCATAGAACAATGTGAGGTGCACTCTCACCCCCCTGAACTCTTGGGGAAGGGTCTAGGCCCTGCCCTATATGAAATGACAGACTATGGACACCCCCATGGAGGGCCTTACCCTCCCTGGGGGAATGAGGGGATAACGGGGGGGGGGTGGGTTGGGGGGAGGGCACGGGAAGAGGGGAGGGAATGGGAGAGGGACCTGAAACTGACTTGTGAAGCAATCTTGTTTCTTATCTAAATTTAAACTGGAAAATAAAATATAAAAAAAGTGTACATCTAGATCTTTCTCAGTAACCTGTGAACATATCTCAATATGTCAATACCCTAAGGATTTCCACAATCAAGAATAACTTAAGAATTTATACTTACGTTTCAGGAAGGATACCAGGATCATTCAGGTGGATATTTCAGGGCTAGGCTTATCCCTTGTGCTCCAGGAGTACCGACCCCTGAAATTTTTCAAATGTCAAAAACTGAAGTGCATAATTCATAGTAGTGGGATGACTACATTCCATCTCTCCTCTATCCCTCCACCACCAAAAAGATTTTATCACTCTATCAGTATCGATAAGTTTGGATTTAATTCTCCATAAGAAACCAAAATGTTCAGGTGTGTCCTACTTTAATTTCCTTTGTATTCATAGATTTTCTACAGATTATCTACATGTTTATTTCTTGCTTCTCCAGGGATCTTTTATGTCAACTTCCTGAGAGAGTCAATATAAAATGGTGTCTTATCCACATCCCAGTTCATATGTTCAATCCCAATCCTCAATATTACTGCATTTGGAGAAAGAAACTTCAAGGAGGTTATTACATTTTCAATGGGAAAGGAATAAGAATCAATCTAGTTAGAAGAGACTTGTATACGAGTAAGGTAAGGAAGAAAAGACAGAGACATAGAGATAGAGAAACAGAGAGTGGAGCAGGACTCCTCTTATTAGGGGAGTGAGCTAAGAGGAAAGACCAAGCAAGGGTGCTGCCTATAAATCAAGAAGAGGAGCTTCAGTAGTAACCAAATCTGGTGGAACTTTGATCTTGAACTCACCAGCCTCTAGTCCTACAAAAAAGGGAAGTGATGTTATTAATACATCCAGTCTTCAAAATTTCATTAGGCACTTTGAATATATTAATACTCAATAATGAAAAACATGTATTTGCTTTGTACTGAACATACACACAGAGGGGGGTAGAGAAAGAGAGAGAGACTTTAGTTGAGAATATATTATTTTCCTGTATCACCCAGAATTCCATCGTTGTGTTTTCATTAACTTCTAACAAGAGTGATCTCTGGAATTAAAATAAATGACCCTCTACCACCCCATTGTCATCCTAATTTTTTTGTCTCAGCTTTGAAACACCAAGTTAACCTGCTTACAGGAATATAGCATTTTTCATAAATACAGCATTATTTATCAGCTACATTTATCTGAATGTCCTGACCAGTCTACCTGATGTACACTCTGTCACATTTGAAAGTCTTAAAATGGTTTTAGACAATTAACATTTGGGCAGTTCTCTTGCTTCTAATAGAAAGGTCTCCAATGGTTTAATGATACATACCTACTACTTAAATTTCTAATTATAATTTCTTTGGAGTATATAGGTAGACTAGTGCTTGAAATCTAATTTATTCATCTAATTATTTCTTTCAGAAAAGGAATTCTCTATTGGGAAGCTACCTAGCATATGCATTAGATCTCCATTATCTTTTTCCAGGTACAGCCTTGCTCAGTAATGAGTGAATTAAGCTTAAGAATTTTGGACTGAAGCCCTAACTTGCTGCAAGATAAGGCCAATTCAGTTCCCTGTGAGAACAAAGAGGAAGAGACTATTATAAAAATCTCCAGGAGCACAGCAGCTCTCCTTTATATGCAGGGTGTAAAAGAGCAAAGAACGAGGTTGAAGTAGGAGCAAGAATGAAAAATAATCTTGGTGTGATGCCTATAGCAACTGATGAGGCAGTATTGCTAATGAGCTCCTCAGAGGGGTACAACTGAAGCACATTAAAAATCAAGTTAGCAGCATACAGATCCTATGCCTTGGCTTAGAAGTTTATTAAACCTTTTCTGAAAAGAGTGACAAATGTGCCTGTGTTTGTGGTTGCGTGGACTTCAACTTCTGCAAGCTTGGAGATTAGCAGGAGCAATAGTGTAGGGGGTTATTGCAGCAGCAATACCAAACCATGACTTCCGTTAATTAATGCCTCCCTGATGGCAGCTACTGGCTGGGCATTTTATGGCACCATTTCATGAAATATTTTCACAGCTTCTACAAACTAAGAATGCTAGTATGTCTGTTGCTTTTATCATTGTTCACATAGTATTTAGGTAACCATGTGGATGAGACTTCATGGGTGGAGTTTCTGACATTTCTCTAAATCACAATCTCACAGAAATCTCCCTGTCCCCACCCCCTTTTTCCAATGCTCCCCAAGCCTTAAGTGTAGGAGTTGTAGATAGATACAGTGGGAGCAGGCTCTGCACGTCTCAACTTTGATTGGGTCTAGTTTTCCATAATAATCTTCTTCTGTTTCACCGAAATTTTCCTTAACAGGAGTTGAGGTCATCACTTATTTATGACAAACATTTAGAATGTGGTTAGGGATCATGTTGGCTAGAAAAGTGACCATTGTTTGTTCTCCAAGATCCCTGATTTCACTATCCATCCTTGGGCACTTTGATAGGTTTCTGGTTGCAGGCAAGGTTATCTATGTTGTGCGGGTATTAAGTCCAATTAGAGAGATATTGTTTACCACCAAGTTATGCATGCCACTATTGTACCCGTAAGGTCATGGTGCCATACTTGTTGTTCTGGCTTATGGGTGTTATAAGTGGATAGGACTTTAGAATTTAAGGACTACATTTGCTAGTCTTCATTGATAAAAGACGCTTTTCTGGAGCAGTTTCAATTGTTTCTGGGGTAGTTTCAAAAGTTACTTTCACCCAGTCTATGGAACTATAATCCGCTTGATTTTGGGTCTTCCATTATGATTAATGAAAATCTTGCTATTAATGCTGATTTCTAAGATTTTCAATTTTCTTTTAAATACATTTCTGGCAGTTTGTGGAGGGCAACCAATAGCTCTGATACTAGCCAGTGCTTTTTGTGGGTTTTGGCTCATAACTTGATTATGTATAACCCATTCCCAAGTGCTAGAGCTTCATTTGGAGACAAGAGATATCCAGTTGAGGTTTTTTGTCTTCCAGGTTCTCTCTCTCTCTCTCTCTCTCTCTCTCTCTCTCTCTCTCTCTCTCTCTCTCTCTCTCTCTCTCTGTGTGTGTGTGTGTGTGTGTTTTAGGAAGTTTCTATGATATTATGTTTCCATACAATCCCAAGCTCTTCCTTATAAATCTCCCTCATTGTATTTGAAAGGGGTAGACTAAACTCAAAGGCTTTACTTCTAATAATTTAGAAATAAAGGGACCAGACCCTCACTCAGCCCCCTGCTTTAGTATCCACGACAGGCTACAGAAAAGACATGTAGGCCTCCGACACAAGGAAACTCCAGATCCTGTGGCCTCCTGGAGTCTAGGCCCAAAACTGAACACAAATAAACTCCAGACCCCTTCCCCCAGTCTCCCAGATGCTTGGCTCCTGGGAACTGTTTGGCCACAAAAGAAACTCCAGGGTAGACTAAAACCTCACATGTAATCTCCAGGATATAGTTCTAAAAACTATTGGTATCTATGTGCAACAGGCAAGCTGCAAGTAACATGACAATGCCATAGAAACCACAGAATGCTCCCTCTCAGCACTGACCAAGAAAAATAATTGGTACACAGATATTTCATGCCAAAACATGACTTTGAGGAATTCTCCTGATTGTTTCCAAATGTCAACCAATCAGATAACAACTCGTACCTACTGATGTTATCCTATAACTTTTGTCTTTAAAACCTAGCAGTAGACAGGAACTTCACTCCCTCTGGGGGCTGCTGTGACAGCTAGCCAGACAGGGTCCCTGTCGTGGGTGGATGAATAATCATTAAACCTTGCTTTTACAGTTTAGTGGGTCTGTCTTCCTGGTATTCTCTGGGAACTTTACAACTTGGGCACAACAGTATTCCCTGTCTTCTCTTCTCCACATTTGATTCTCTATTCCATACTCTCTACCATTTCACCCATAACTATCCATTCTATTCTGTTCTATTCTTAATCACAAGCCAAACTGATTAAATGATTTTTATAGACTCAAGTAAGCTACTCCAACAAAAATTTAGAAATCAATCTAGCACAGTACATGATAATATTCATTTTATTTCCCATGTTGAAGGAATACAGGGAGGAAGTTCTTTTTTCATTTTTCTTATAATAATATTAGGGTGTTGTAAGACCAGCAAATTTAATGTGTGCAACAAAACTGCTCAGATTCATAGCCCACACCAATATTGAATCTGAGCCAGGTGTTTCAGGCATTTTTTTAATCACAAAGGTATGTATTGTGGAAAGCATATATGGTCTGTGTTCAAAACCCTAAGGCTGTAGTGAGGATATGTTGCACAACAGAAGTCAACATTGCCAAAACTAAATTGGCATTAATGTGATTGAATTCGAATTAAATTTTAGTCACTGTACCTTCAGAAATCACTTGCTGTTGAAGAGTTTTTAAACCCTATATTTAGGTATAACTCCATTCAAGATCCATAATTTAAGAAACCATGCATGACCTATGCAATAAGGAAGGATATTGGTTAATTCTTAATATTTTAAACCTTTTAATCTGACCTCAGTTGTGAATACATAATGTATCTGCATTCCACCATCCTATGACGAATTCAAGTAGTACCATAAGAGACTATGTATGAGAATTTTAGATGAAAGACCAGTTGAGATTCTATTACATCAGCCACCTGGTTCAAGAGGAAGGAGACCTTCATATATTTTTCAACTAAAGTCACTGAGTCACCTTCAGTGTTGTGTCTGTGGGGAAGAAATGATAAGTTTTCATTGAATTCTGAATATAAACCAAACCAAATAGTTCTGATTTCAAGTTATCGAGTTTAGTTACTGATGTGGGAAGTCCTGTGATTATGTCAATAAAGCACTGTTGGGCCAATAGGGAATCAAGATAGGTGGGACTAGGAGTCCAGAAGGAGTCAAGATGTAACGCCATGGAGTAGGAAGCCCGGAAACCTCTCCGGTAAGAGAAATACTTAGATTAGCAATTATGGGATAAATACTTAAGTCAGAGCTAGCCAGTAAGAAACAAGCAAGGCCAGCAGCTTCATAATTAATATAGCCTCCTGTGTGTTTATTTGGGACTGATGGGGCTCTGGAATCAGGCTGGTGGGAAGGCTTCTCTCAAGGAAAAAGCTTATCATTGCATAATGGTGATCAGGAGTGGGATGATGAATTTCCACGTAGAATGACAAAAGCTTTAAAGGAATTTTAGAAACAGAAGAACAGAGAGAAGCACACATTTTTGGGAGTAGCATTTTCTCAAGTGGGCTCTGTTTTGCTAGCAGCAAGCAGAGACTCGAGGCTGGCTTAAGTGAGGCTTCCTGACTCAACATAAA